TGAGAAGACAGAGAAACACACAGCAGATGAAGGAGCAAGGTAAAAACCTACCGGACGTAACAAATGAAGAGGCAACAGGCAGTCTACTTTCCTGAAAAAACTTTCAAGAAGAAAGTTTTCCTACTTGAAAAATAATTCAGGGTAATGATAGTAAAGATGATCCAAAATTGTGGAAACAGAATGGAGAAAATACAAGAAACAAATGCTGTATGCTAACACATATATATGAAAAAAAAATGGTTCTGAAGAACCTAGGGGCAGGACAGGAATAAAGACACAGACGTAGAGAATGGACTTGAGGACATGGGGAGGGGGAAGGGTAAGCTGGGACGAAGTGAGAGAGTGGCAAGGACATATATACACTACCAACTGTAAAACAGATAGCTAGTGGGAAGCAGCCATATAACACAGGGAGATCAGCTCGGTGCTTTGTGACCACCTAGAGGGGTGGGATAGGGAGGGTGGGGGGGAGACGCAAGGGGGAGGAGATATGGGGATATATGTATATGTATAGCTGATTCACTTTGTTGTAAAGCAGAAACTAACACACCATTGTAAAGAAATTATACTCCAATAAAGATGTAAAGAAAAAAAGAATTAATTGAGTAAGTCATCTGAAATGCAGATCTGTTGGTGTTTTTTCCCTCTTTTTTTTTTTTTCTGACCAAAGATGTCAGTGGCAGGGTTATTTATAGTCACAAAAACAGAGAGAAAGGGAATCAGTTACCTCAACAGTAATTAATATAGCCACACAAAGGAATATCAAGGGGCCGTTAGGAATGATATTCTCAAAGGGTGTCTAACAATACAAGTAAAGTATGATTAAATAATGGAAATAAGAGACTATAAAACATGTAGACATTATAACAACTATTTAAAATACATAATACCAAGCTCATGCATTAAAAGACATGGGGGGACTTCCCTGGTGTTACAGAGGTTAAGAATCCACCTGCCAATGCAGGGGACATGGGTTTGAGCCCTGGTCCAGGAAGATCCCACATGCCGTGGAGCAGCTAAGCCCGTGAGCCACAACTACTGAGCCCGCGTGCCAGAACTACTGAGCCCGTGCACCTAGAGCCCATGCTCCGAACAAGAGAAGCCACCGCAATGAGAAGCCCACGCACCGCAATGAAGAGTAGCTCCCACTCACCGCAACTAGAGAAAGCCCGCGCACAGCAACGAAGACCCAGCGCAGCCAAAAATAAATAAATAAATTAAAAAAAAAAAAAAAGACACGGGAAGTAAATATATCTTAATTATAATGGTGGTTGCTCTGGGTCCTGTCATTTACTACTTGCTTCTACTTTTTATATTTCCCAAATGTTCTGTGATGAGTATATATTACCTTTATAATAAAAAAGTCACATATTTAATGCTTTAAAAACACACAGATTTCCCCTCATCTCCCTCTTTAAAGGCCCACACCAATGATCCCTTGAGCACCGAGCGTCCCGTTGTCCATTGTCCCAGAGCTTGAGAATGTCAATCTATTAAAGAAGCAGCACCTACCTGGTTCTGACCCATCCCATGACAGTGGTATAGAATGACCTGATGTCCTGTGATCTGGTGTTCATTGGGAGGGTTATAGTCAAAGCAGTAATCTTTTAGTCCTTTGTTCTGGAGCTAAACAAAACATAAAGGCATTTTAGTCCAGATTCCACCTAAGGCTGTGTGGGCGGGTAAATGGAGTAAGAGGAGTGGCTGCCTCAAGAACTGGACTCATTGCTAAGAGCCCCTGCCATTTCTAGTTTTAAAAGTGTTTTCCCATCCTATACCACAGGCAGGAATCATAAGCTCCATTTTAAGATGATAAACCTGAGGAGCAGAGAGATGAACTCTTTATGGCCTGAGAGCTCATACCACTTCATGTCTCATTAGTGCAGCCTTACTGCTGCACTAGGCCAAACACAGCTGGATTGTCACCTTGCGTATGTACCAAGGAGCTCCTGCTATCGCGCATCTGCGAAGGACACCCCAACTGAGAGACCCGGCATTCCACAGATCAGAAGTCCATCATTGTAGATTACAGGAACAGCATAATACAGAGCCAATGATTCACACACAAAGTCACACAACAGGTAAGCGGAGATACCTGAGTCTTGAATCCAGGACCTCAGACTCCAAGTCCAGTACTCTCTCCATCACTCAACACTGCCTAATCTAATGTCATCTCTAAGGTACTTTTGGATCTAAATCCCTTTAATCATTCTAAGAGCAAAAAACCACGGGAGGTTCCATGCTCCCTCCTCCCTTCCAGGAGCCTCCAGAGAAAGACTCAAACATCTTGCAAATCCCTTTCTGGAGAGTTTAAAGAACCTCCTTCTGAACCCCACTCTTGCCCTGGCCCTTGTCCACCTTTGACTAGCCTGGTCCTGAGGATAAGACTCAGCCATATAGAAAGAAGAATCCACAATCCACTAGCTCATAAAACACAGAACAGCATGTTCTTGATGTCCCTTTGCTTGTGAAGGAATCTGGGAACAGGAGATGTGAATAATCAGAGCATCTTATACCTAGAAGAACTCAAACGTCATTAAGCCAAGTTGTCCCCACTCTTGACCACCAAAGAACCTCAACCTCAAATCAGCTCCCTATGTTCAAAAGATGTGGTCTACCAAAGAAACTACAAGAAAAACTAAAAAAGAAGAAAAAAAAGGAGAAACCCCTAAAGATTAAAACAGATTGATTAAGCTAACTATATCAAGTTGGTGATAGACATAGAGAATGATTTTGAATGACTTTAGAGCATAGTATGTTTGACTACACTTCCCTAGTGAAATATATTTTATAAATAAATAGAGCTGCAAGAAATCTTAAACCTCATTCAGTATTACACTGTCAGTGGGAGGGTGGAGCAGAGAAGAGGGAAAGCAAGAGAGGCAAAATCTTGGTAATTGTAGAATCTCAGGGACAGGGCTCATTACACCACTCTCTCTGCATTTCTGTATGTTTGAACGTTTTTGTAATGCTAAAATGAACACACCAATACCCTGCTTTGTATTTATCAAGACTTCCAGAATGGAACACAGCTCTTCTGATGAACACAACACAGCAGAGGAGGCCTCCCTAAGTTGGTGGAGTTTCAAGCAAAAGCCAAAGGTGCTGGACATTTTAGTTGACCTCATCCCAACAACATTTCTTTCAGGTTTTTTGAAATAACACAAGTGACTCTCCTTCCCTACTACTGCTTTTGTGGATCTCTGAGTTGGGAATTAGTAACTGGTCCAGTTATTGAGACTTGAAGTCATGTGATAGGAGTTAATATAAAAAAATAGGACTTGGGAACACCAAGTTTCCAAGCCTCCGTTTCCATCTGTAAAATAGGAGGCTGTACTCACCAATTCTGAGATGCTTCCTGTGCTGACATTCTGGACCTGAGGTCCAGAGACTCAAGGGGAGAAGGAAGGACAGTGGATGAAAAGGGGGGAGGGGTGTGGGAGAGGCCAGCTGTTGCCATGAAGGGGTCTTTCTTTCACAGAGTTCGTCAATCAGACCTGGAGGCCAGGAGCACCCTGCCCGGCATGGGTCCACCTCGCTCACCATCCCAAAGAAGCCAGGCCTGTCCTCAGGCACGTGCAGTTCTGGATACACGGTACTCAAGAACCACTTGAAGTCCTTACACTGGAGCCTTGCACGGAGCTGCCTCCTCTCTGTCACATCCCCAAAGGGTTCCTGAGAAAATGACAAAACGGTGAGCCCCTGCAGGCCACGGTGCTTCCTATCAAAGCCCCTCTCTCACTCACTCAGTAAGCTTTTATTGAGCACCTATTGTGTGTGTAGCCTGCACGGTGCACGGAGGATAAGGAACGGCCTCAGGCATAGTTGCAGCATCTTAGTAGGAGAGACTGCTGCACAAACAATGACATCCCCAGGTGCTCTCACTGCAGGGAGGTGTGGCCAGGTACAGGAAGGAAGAACACAAAGCACCTGCAGATGGGACAGGGAGCTGAATTCTGGGGCTGCACCGGCATCCCTGGCCCCATGTGTCATCCATGAGCGTGTGATCACAGACCAGCAACAAGTCAGTAGCACACGTATGCCATAATGTTCTGATTCACCACTGATACCTGAGCACTCACTTCCAAACATAGGTAAGTATTCTAGAGGTAATTATGAATGAAAACCTTATATGCCCAATCTATTGAAGTCTAAATATATTCTTCGGATAGTAAGAGCAAAATACTGCAATAATAAATACTTGTAGAAGTTTAGTTTTATGGACAAAACCAATGATTAAGAACTTTTTTTTTTTAGTTTATTAATTAATTTATTTTTGCTGTGTTGGGTCTTCATTTCGGTGTGAGGGCTTTCTCTAGTTGTGGCAAGCGGGGGCCACTCTTCATCGCGGTGCGCAGGCCTCTCACTATCGCGGCCTCTCTTGTTGCGGAGCACAGGCTCCAGACGCGCAGGCTCAGTAATTGTGGCTCACGGGCCTAGTTGCTCCGCAGCATGTGGGATCCTCCCAGACCAGGGCTCGAACCCGTGCCCCCTGCATTAGCAGGCAGACTCTCAACCACTGCACCACCAGGGAAGCCCCCAATGATTAAGAACTTTTGAATAATTAAATAAAGCAAGCATCTATTTAGCACAGCAAATGTGCAACCACAAGAGCAATGCTGAGCGCAAAGATAGGACTGTCCCTGACGTTAAACTATTAAAATTTGACAAGTTAAACATTTAACAAAATGGTAATAATAGGAAAAACATTTGAATAAAATTTCCAATTTCTCCTTATTTCCCAGAAGTTCATTCTTTGATGAGAGTCACTATGACCTCATCTTCAACCAAATATCCATTTCAACACACGGCCACTGGTCATTCAGACAAAAGGTGCATGCAGTGCCCTCTTTCTAACATATTATTCTTTGGGAACCATCAGGAAGAGGGATCTGTGGGTTTCAGACTGGGTGACAGGGAAAAGCAGATGTTTCTACCCTGCAGCCCTGGGCAAGAGAGAGGAAACAATGACCCTGGAGCCCAGAGGCAGAGAGAGACCAAAGAGGAGGTCAGGGTGAGGGTCCCGAGGGTTCCGCAGAGCAGAAAGAGATCCACTGGGGTGAACCCAGTTCTACCCGCATCAGCTACGAGGCCTTGGGCAAGTTCCTTAAATCACTCTCTCTCTGAGCTTCAGTGTTCTCACCTATAAAATGAAAATTTCAGAGCTACCCTGAAGGGCTGCTATAAGGATTCACAAGAAGAGAGTTTCATCAAGTGGCCAGGAAAGAGGTCTTGGGACAGAGCTTCTTGTCTTTCCACGTGGCCCCTTAGTTACGTGAACACAGGTAAGTGGGAACCCTGTCCTGGGGTGTGCAGAGGTGGTGTGTCAGAGGCAGTGAGGCTCTTTGCTAAAATGTATTTGTAACCCCAAAATCAATACTTGTGGTGTCTTCACGCTTTCAGTCATTCTAAAACATGACAGTCACCCAACGTGCATGTTCCCAGCTGAGGTCACGTCTCAGCTCTTGTTCTGAAAGCAAGTGTCCTGTTCATGGTCTATTTAGTGGCACGGTTTTCAGATTGTTCTGCATTGTATTGGTGATTTCACTGTTTTAAATGGCCCCCAAGCGTAGCGCTGAAGTGCTGTCCAGTGTTCCTAGTGCAAGAAGGCTACGATGTGCTGGAGGGAGAAAATAGGTGCATTGTATGAGCTTCACTTGGGCATGAGCTCAATGTAACCAATCAACAGTGTATATTAAATAAATTATTTAAACAGAAACACACATAAAACCAAGTTATGTATTGATCGATCGACAAAAATGTCCACCTGCGAGAGGTTTGCAGGACTCTAACCCTGTACTTCCCCCACGAGCAATGGCTCAATAGTTGGTTCCAAATTCAGTGACTGCAGTGCCTGTATGCAGCATTAACTGCTGCGAATAGTGAGAATCAACTGTCTGTTGTTACTGTAAGTGAAGGAATAAAGTTTTCCCATACAAGTGTCATGAGCACCCAATTTCCTCTCTATTTCTGGAACTAGATCTACTATGGTAGGAGGACAGAATTAGCTGCTATTGTTCAGATGCAGCCAGATGGAGCGTGGGCAGGCCGGGGAACTCACCAAGCGGGCCTGGGGGTTGCGATGGTAGTAGAGCTCTTTAAATTCATCCATCCACACTTCAGCTGCGCGGACACTGTTGGCCAGAGCCTTGTTGCGGGAGTAGGGAGCTTGCCTGGGGAAAACGTGGCCAACGTGCGAACACGGGTGTGTCTCCAGGGTCCCCCCGCACTGCCAGATCTGTACACAGAGCGGGTAGGAGGTGTGGGGTGGGGAGTGAGCGGGAAGTCAGCTGCAGGTCCACAATGCCCAGAGCAAGGAGGCTGGACACACGGAGGTCATGGTGAACACTGCCAAGGCCTCACCCCCCATGGGGCAGGGGGCCACTCCCCCAGCATATTCAGGACACAGGATGCAGTCAAAGAGCAAGAAAGCAGCCTCAAAGACAACTAAGCCATCAGAATCCAGACCCCAAAGTCCATGCACTAAGGCTCATGCACTTGACTCCTAGGAGCACCGACAGTGGACCTCGCTGGGAACTTACTTATTATGTAAAGCACAGGCTGGATTACCTGGTCTCCTAGCCACAGAAGATAGGAAAGCAGCAAGTAAGAAGAGAGGTTTGGAAGGGGGACAGGAAGAGCTTCTAGAGGCAGACAGAGCAGCCTGACACCTGGGGAAGAGGTAGAAAGACCATTAAAAGCACACCCCAAAACTCAGCAGGTAGAGTTATATGGAGCCTTTTCATGCTGGGGCAAACGGCTGTGAATACCCCATTGTCCCCTGGATGTATGACCAAGGATAGCATCTGGTGCTTATAATGCGGGGGTGGGGTGTGAGTCCTTAGTGGAGAGTCAAAGCCTTGTTTATTAACTCTTAAAGCAGGAAACCATATAAAATATTTGTAAAGTTTAAAATTTTCCATTTAAAAGCACGAACATCAACATAAGGTTTTGATACTTAAAATGCAAGATTCAATTAACTAGAAAATCCACCCAAATGCTTGGGCTTTCACAAAGGGGCATCTGTGGATCACATACAGCAGAATCAATGGATGGGCTCATTACAAAAGGCAGATTCCCAGTCCCCACTGTAAATCTATCAAATCTGACTTTCCAGAGACCATGCCTGTTAATCTGCATTTTTAACAAGTTTCTCTAACAATTCTTCCATGTGTCAAAGTTTGAAAGTCACTGTGCCAAATAAAGAGGCTACTTTATCAAGCAGTCAAGCAAATCAAGGCTCCAAAACATGGGATCAGGAGGCAGGGACCCGTGTTTTAGTCCAGTCTCTGCCATGCACTCTGTGAGTGACCTTCAGCCAGTCGCTACCCGCCTCCGGCCTCTGCCCCTCCTCTTTATGGAGTGAGAGGAAAGAACCAGGTGAGACTTGCAAGACCCTTTCCAGCCCCAAATCTATTAAAAGTGTATTTTTAAAAAAAGTTTACACAAGAAGACAGGTGTGATTACAGGATATGTGTGCCACTGTCATCTTTGAGGATCGTTGGATAAACTGCCAATATGGAGGAAAAGTCCACCAGGCTCTCCTAGCAAATACATCCTTCCCAGAGAGAAAGAGAACAGGTTAAGAATGAGTCCAAACAGAAGACTGGAATACTTACTCTAAATGAGAATTCGAGGTTTTCTCCGCCCCAAACTTCCATTCCTGTATCGTAAGACCCCAGGTATTCAAAATATTTCTTACTCACAGAAAACAGCCCACCAGCCATGGTTGGAGACCTAGAAGCGTGTGAATCATAATTCAAGGTAAGCGGCAGGAAACCATCACAGTTAGTTGAATCCCTTCTCACCACAAGCCTGGAGTCCATTCATCCATATAAGCATACCCTGAGTTCACATTCTGGGCCTGGTGCTGAACTGGGCTGGAAGCACAGACGTGCCCCATAGCCCCTGCCCTGGGGAAGCTCACAGACATCTCACCAGGCAAGCACAGAGCAAGGTGTGGGATGACTAAGGCCAACCTAGGGCCCAGCGGGAATGCAGAAGCAGCCATGAGATGCGGAGGGGGGCGGGTAGAGCTAAGTTTCTCGGAGGAGGCACGGTCTGCAGCACAAAGGGAAGTTAGCCCAGAAGAGGGATGGAATGGTCCTCCGAGAAGACAGGAGCATGAGCAAAGGCCTAAGGGTGAGAGAAAGCCTTGTACTTCTAGGAGCACAGACAACAAGGAGAGATGAGAAGAGGGAGACCAGGTTCTAAGAGGGTGGCAGAAGTAAGGGTGCGGTGGCCTTGCTCGTGCAGCCCTCACAGATGTCCTTTATGGGCCAGTAGAGGCCACTCTGGCATCTTAAAGCTCCCCAAGGGCTTGAGCCTCTCCTGCTGGAATGGCCTCCCCTGCAGGACCCACACGGCCAGCTCTGGCCTGCTGCCTCAGCCAGCCCTGTTTTCTCCCTTCCAGGTTCATCTAGGAGATGGCACTGGTTTCAGAAATGGCCCAAGGCTTCCATCCTACCCCCGCAGAAAGCTATAGCGTCAACACACCACAGAGATGCAGAGGAATAAATTTAAAAATGGGGAAATATACAACATGAAGAGCCTAACAGTTCAAAATTTTAAGATCCTCCAGTAGTGCTTCCAGGCCTTGACAAAGTATTGGCTTTTCCTGCACTCCAAGCTCTGGGCCAATGAGAACAGGACAGCAAGACTATGGAAGAGAAGGTTCTAGGCTACAAAGCATTTTCATGTGTGTTCATCCTAAAGGCTAGGAAATAGGTAGGGTGGATATGCTCATACCTATTTCACAAGTGAGAAAACTGAGGCCCAAGGATATTACGGGAGGGGAAGGATAGCTGGCCACAGTGTCCCTGAGCATGTGCGTGCGTGCGTGCGTGCATGCGTGTGGGGGGGGGCAGTTTGTGTCAGCATCACAGGCTGCATATGTGACGCTTGATATGATCCTTCCTACTTGGTGTCTCAGTTTCCAAACCTGTTAAATGAGGGGTTGGGCAGGATGCCGCCCCTCAGGGCTCCCGCAGAAGCCTACATGTCATCCTTGAGTCGTCCTCCCCTCAATCCCATTCAATTCCTCCCAATTTTCCCACCACAAAGTCTCTGGAGTCCACCATGTCCCTCCATCTTCTGCACCATCATCTCTAAGCTGGAGGACTGCAACGCCTCCCAGTGGTGCCCCTGCCTGCAGCTCCACCCCCTCCAGGCCCCCACCCCCCATCACGTGGCATCCAGCACAGACTTTAAAGGATGCAACAGGCTAAATAAGGTCACTTCCAGCTCAAATCCCTTCAGTGGCTTCTGAACACCCACAGTAAAGTCCAAACCCCTTTCCTTGGCCTTCAAGGCTGGATATGACTTGGCCGCATTCACCTCTCCAGCCCTGTCTCTCAACACCGTCTCCACAGTTGTTCCTCTCCAGCCAGCACTGGGTCATCTCAAGGTCTGGACTCAGGTGAAAGGATTCAGAAGGCCAGCTGCCAAACATGGGTGCAGATCTACGACACCACTTCTGGGTCAATACCCCAGTGATAAAGCTGAAGTCCAACCTCCACCGGCCTGACTCCCACATCTGTCTCCCATTTGGTGCTAAACTTGGAAGGAGAGGAAGAAGCCAGACTATGACTTCAACACCTCAAGAATGAGGGCAACCCAGCACCGCTTGAGCCTTCTCTTCTCAGACCCAGGCTCACCCACTGGCCAAAGCTGGCCCCTGTACCCCCAGGTCTACTCATCCCCTGCAGCTCAGAAGGAGCCTGACAGTGTGTCCTCAAAATATTAGCCATGGAATTACCATAGCAAGTCCAGTCCTAGGTATATACCCCAGAGAACTGAAAACAGGCACTCAAACAGACAATAGTGTACCGCTGTTCACAACAGCATTATTTACAATAACCAAAAAGTGGAAATAACCCAAGTGTCCATCAACAGACAGATGGATAAATAAAATGTGGATGCATACACAATGGAATATTATTCGGCCATTAAAAGGAATGAAGTTCTAGAAGGACCTTGAAAATACTTCGTTAAGGAAAAGAAGCCAGACACAAAAGGATAAATATTGTGTGATTCTAATTATATGATGTACATAAAATAGGGAAATCCATAGAGATGGAAAGTAGAGTAGAAGTTACCGGGGGCTGGAGGAGGGGAGGAAAGGGAATTATTGCTTAACAGGTATAGAGTTTCTATTTAGGTTGATGAAAAAGTTCTGGAAATATGTAGAGGTGATGGTTCTACAATATTGTGAATGTGCCTGATGCTAGTGAATTGTGCATTTAAAAAATGGTTAAAATGGTAAACTTTATGTTATACATATTTCAACACAATTTAAAATATATATATATACACACCAATATAAAATCCACATATATAGCAATGATTTTTAATAAAAGTAAACAAATACTCTGGAAAAAGAAAGGAGAGGCAACAGCTAACCATCCCTCCTGAGGGCCTTCACTGACAAGTTGGCCAGATGCGTGCTCAGAGAAGTCAACCCCTGACCTGATGACATCGATGGGAGACCGCATGCGGATCCTCTCCCTCTCGGGAACCACGTGCCACGTGAACACCAGCCTCCAGTCGAAACCGCCAATCTGGGGCTCCCCAGCGTTCCCCAGGTACTCGAAGGTGTTCCAGTCGATCACATCGATCACAGGGCACACCACTGCCAACTCCTCTTCATGGATCCTGAAAACAGTCAGAACAGCCTTCCACTAGAAGGAGGAACACCTGTCTGAGAAAGGCCTGCTTCTCTTATTCCAGGGGTCTACAGCCAAGTCAGCCCTGGCAGGTGAGCAAAAGGGGGCTGCTGGGCGGTGGGGGGAGGCAGGGAGCTAGGACTCTGGCCCTGATATGAAAAGTCCCACAGCTTTAATATTCTGATTCCATCCAGGGATATTCTGGTTAAATTTGAATCCCTCTATGAAAGTCAGGATGTCAAAATTCAAGCTAAATTTTAAAACGGAAAGCACATTTTCAGTTTCTTCAAGACTGCAAGAGATTTCTTCATTTAATTAAAATGAAACATCTTCAAGTCAAGAAATAATTATCTCCCTGTGAACAGAGATGCGTCCAGACCAAAGGGTCTGCTTTGGAGGTAGAAAATAAATTTTAATCCTGCCTCTTATTTACTGTGTAACATTAGCGTTGTCACTTAACTGCTTAGAGCCTGTTGCCTCATGGGTTACACTGGAAAAATATACCTACTCATAGGTTAATGTGGACTCCCTACGGGAATGTTTGTAAGAGGCTGCCAGAGAACCTGGAACTACTGCTATATTTTTCTTTTAACCTTTTTAATTATTAAATGTTACACGTAGTGGAAAATGTGATAATTTCCTTTTGCAAGCATCAGCTTGTGCGTAGTCTTCAGCAGTTCTCTCCACAATCATCCTTACAAGCCCAGCCATCCCAGCAGGCTTCCGGACTGTGTTTCTTTGCATTTGACAGCACACCAGGAAACATGAACTGAGACTGAACCACGTGTGAACACTAGATTTCTCTGGGTTACATTTTGGGGGCAGTTGTCTAGAATTTGAGACCTATAAATCATTAACTTGTAACTTGCAGTCCAGCTGGTTGGAACCATGGGTAGTCTAATTTTTACAAGAAAGGGAAAAACAGGGGGAGCCTGCACTGGAGTAAAGAATTCTAAATCATGGTTAGAGAACGTGCAGGTCCAGTAGCAGTGGTTACTGGGTAGTGTTTCCTGGCATCTTGTGAGCCAGGGACCAGGGATGCCAAACATCCTGCAGTGTGCAGTCCAGCCCTACACAGCAAAGAATGGTTCTGCCCCAGATGTCAACAGCAGCTTATAAAATGCCAGGAGCACTACTCAGTTGATGTGACAACCAAAAACATCTTCCACTTCCAAAAGCCCCTGGAGGAAAGGGGTTACTGTGCCTGGTTGGGACCACCTGAGGGACAGTCTACACTCCAGTGTCTCAACTCTGGTGCACCCTCAAGTCTTCAGGGAGCTTCTGAAACATCCAGAAGGCCAGGATCTACCCCAGAGATTCAGATCCAAATAGTCCAGGAGTTTTTAAGGTTCCCCAGTTATTTCTAAAGGGTAACCAGGGGAGAATCCCTTTGTCTCCAGGTATGGAGCAAGGACGTGATTATGGGGAATGCTGCCTCGCTCTCTCCAAAGGGTGGGACGGGGTGAAGTGGAATTCTAGATGGCATTAATGAATCAGCTGAAGGGGAAAAGTGCCCCTACCATGACTTTAGACAGGCCTAGAGGCAGCCCTCTGTACGCACAGTGGGGGAAGGGGGGAAGGATGAACTCACTAGTCCGGGTTCCAGAGTGAGCACCTAGCTGTCACTATGTTCTAAGTAATCTCAGAGTCCATCACTGGCCTGAGGAATCCTGAGTCCTTTCTGCGGGTGAAGCTTACCAGAGCTGAGGGGGAGAAAGAGGCAGCAAAGGACCGGGACAGCAGGAAGTGGCAGAGCAGAGCTCGGTCTCATGCAGGAACAGAGGCGAGGGGGTCCCTAGCTCTTCCAAACAGACCCTGACAACCAAGCGTTGGATGCCAAGGGAAAGCAGTTTGCCAAATGCACAGACTGATCCTCCAGCCCTTCACCCACTCCACAGGGAGGGGACCAAACAGAGACCCCCCAAACTTTCCTCTCCCACCCGGGGGAGCTCTGGGCTTGCCAGCTCAGCTCCTGATGCAGAATCAGTACGATGGAAAGGGAAAGAGAGAAGAGAAGAGAACAAAAGTAGGCCCAGGGGTAGGTGGGAAGGTGAGTGTAAGAGACTGTGGGACAGCAGGGGAAATATCCTTGAAGACACAGCCATATTTATACTTTCATGACTCTATAAAAAATATATTAAAACAATATTTTATGACTATATTGGTAAAAAGACAAACAATCCAGGCTAGATTCATTATTATATATTCATTATTATATATTCATTATTATGATATTCACTTTCCATTCTGATTTTAAAAGAAATTAACATAAAATTTTGGGGGGGGTCCCTTAAAGTTTCATGGGTGGGCCGTAGGTATTGTAGGTACTGCATGTAATAAATAAGTCAGCCCAGCTTGAAGGAAATACACCAAAATGTATACCCTCCAGGAGTGCAATTCTGTGTGACTGACCATATTTTTTTCTTCGTTGATCATACTAAGTATTCTACAATAAACGTGTAAAATAAGCAGTAATAAAAGCAAACACTCATCTAGGACCTCCCACATGCTGGCATGTTCTAAGCACTGTCCGTGTATTAAGTCATTTAACGGCCTCCACAGCCCCAGGAGGTAGGGACTGTTACCACGCTGTTACCAGGGACAGAGGCTTTGCCCAAGGAGCATCTGAGCCCAGCGCCCCTGCCTCTCATGTCAGTTTGGTCAGGGCCCCCGCCTCCCCCCCGCCCCCCACCGACGGTCCACGCACCTCTGCAGCAGCGGCTCCAGCCACCCTTCGTGGCACTCGCAGTGGCAGTCCAGGAAGGTCAGCACGTCGCCCTTGGCCGCGGAAGCCCCCAGCAGCCGTGCCCGCACCAGGCCCTCCCTCTTGTTGGCGCGGATCAGGCGGACCTTGGGCAGCCGGGCCAGCTCGGAGGCCAGGCGTTCCTTCAGGTGCTCTGGGGAGGCAAGCGGGACACCGAGGGTCACCGCCACACATCCCCAGCCGCGTCCTTGAAGGGCCTCCCTGTCCCCAAAAGAAGACTAAGTAGACACGAGCCTCCTTTGCTCTGCACCAGGGACGTGCTCACCGCACCCGGAACCAAGGCTGGAAGCCCCTGAAGGCCAGGGAGGCTGAGGTGGAGGATTCCAGAACCACCAAATGCTCCCGTTCAAAACACACACACATTGAACTGTACTCCTGAAATGAGTGAATGTGTCATGTGGATGTATCTCAATAAAGCTATTACCTCCCAAAATTACCTTGACTTGTAAACATTTAAATAAAAAGCACAAGAACCATCCAACCACGATTTTTCCAAAAAATTGTGTTAATATAAACTTTGTTCATTTATGTTAATTATGCAATACATCATAAAATTTTAATTTATATGGAATTATATTAACATAAATTTTATTTATAATACAATTACGTTAACACAAATTTTCTCAGAAGTATGTTTCAGTTGACACAGTAATAATAATAACAATGGCAGCCAACATGAGAAAGCCTACTGTGCTAATTACAGTCCAAGTGATTCATAGAACTCACATGAGTCTCATAACAACCCTATGAGGTAAGTACTACTACTGTCCCCATTTTATGAGTGAGAACATTGATGCCAGAGAGGCTAAGTGACGTGCCGAGGTCCCAGACAAGTGAGCTGAGGAGTCGTGATGTAAACCCTGGGGACTCTGGCTCGAGTCTACAGGCTTAACGCTGCCTCCAGAGCTTTCTTCTACAGCTGCCCATCCTTGTTAAACAAATCCAAAACTTGTCAGGAGGACATGCTTATCCCATTTTGTAAGAGAGGAAATGAGTCCTTAAGAGTTGAAAGGATGTGCCCACAGCTAGAACTGGCCCCAGGACTCCCAACTCCACACACAGGCTCTGTGACTAGAGGTCCCAATTCATGCCTCTCGATGGGTAGGTGGAGGCAGGTGAGAACCAGTCAGGTAAAATAAAAATGAGAGAATCTCCCCACATCAACATGGGCTTCATCTCAAAGTCCCCCTCAATCATCAGTGAAGGGAAAACTTTGTATAATGTTCTGTTGCTTTGTTGTCTGTGAAATGTTTCCCTAAGTACTCTTGATACTCAAACAAGAAACAAAAAACATTCATTGGTTGATTTTTTTTTTCAACCCTAAATATAACTGCATATAAGCTAATGGCAGGAATAAGGGAGGTGACTTCCCAAGCAAAGCTAATTAGTGGCAGTGCCCAGGGAACACACAGGAAAACTGTGGTGCAGCCACCCGGCACTCAGGATGGGTTTGGTCTGCATCAATTTTCTGTCTGCCTGAACTGTCTTCCCCAATCCTGGAAGGCGCTGACATCCCTCATCAGCTCGGACTGACCCTGCAGGAAGGGTGGGAGAAGGGGCAGGGCAGGACTTCTTACCTCCAATACACGCTGAGAGGGGCATCTTGCTGACTTTACAAATTACCACCACGGGGAGGGGAAGTCTTGTCCCCCCACAGTCTTGGCCTTACATTTATGAGAGCACTGAGCTGTACTGGAAGGGGTTCATACTGTATTCCTGTCTGCTGAGCAGCTGCTTGATCCCATAAAGAGAAAATAATCTGATACTTGCTTCTGAATGAATACACTTCTGAAATGTTTTCGGCACTCTGCCGTTTTTTAAATAGTTCATAAAAGCAGAAGTTATCGTTGAACAAGTGCCAGCAATGGGCCAGGCCCTGACGTAGCAAGCTACCACCTTCATCTCATTTAATCCTCAACAATGACCCTGAAAGGTAAGAACTACTATTATGCCATTTTACAGGGCTGGAAGGCAAGGTTGAAACTGGTTAAGCTCCTTGCTCAAGGCTATACGGCTGCAAAGTGCTGGAGCTGGGATTCTAGGCTATGCGGTGTGACCCAGAACCAGCGTCTACACAGACATATTTAAAACAACCCTGGGAGGAAAGGAAATGGAGATGCATGCCTACTATAAGCTGGCTGCTACGTGAGGTTCTGTCCTACACATGATCTCATTTATTCCTCACCACAAGTCTCTGGCATTAGTGTAGATAAACCCATTTACAGATTAGAAACTAAGGCTCAGAAGACAAGTGACTTGCCCAAGGTGCCATGACGGGTTATGGTAAAGCTCGCCTAAGACCCCTGACCACAGAATTCAGCACCTTGTAGGCTACACTAGGCCTCAACCCCCAGTCTGGCTTGCCTGCTGCCATGGGGAATGCCAGCTGTCCCCTAAGACTCACTCTCCCCATGCTTTTCAGCTGAGCACATGGACACCCTCCACAGAGACGACGTTCCTAGCCTCCCTCACAGGTAGGTGTGGCCAGGTGACCCTGTTCTACTCAGTGGGACTGAGGGCAACTTCCAGGTGTAGCTCCCAGTCCCCTTGAAACCCTCCTGCTGACGGGAATGAACAGGAGGTGAAGACCCAGCCTGGGCTATGCAGGCAGAGGCAGTGCACCATCCTCGAGAAGAAGGAGACTTAGGGCAGGAGGAGCTGGGCCCTAATAGCGCGGAGGGGCCACACCTGCCCTAGACTATTACCCCAGATTTTTGATGTGAGCGAGAAATCAATTTTTATCTCATGTAAATCACTGTTATTTTGAGTCTCTGTGAGAACAGCCCGGCACACCCACCAATTAGGACCTATACACCAGGCTCTGAAGTCAGACCAGCCTCAGAGCCTGAAGCAGCAGATGCCCAATAAGCAGTGGCTCTACCCTGATGGGTGGTCCAGGGGTGGTGATTTGGTTTGAAACGGGCTCTAGCAACCAAGCCCACAGCTCTCCCTCTTGCAGGGCCGTGACATTTCCCCTCACTTCAGCTTAGCTGCCCTCACGTCAGCTAGTGGCCAAAGATGTGCTGGCTGACTACCGCTCCATGGACAGGGCTAACCCCAGCCAGGCAAGGCCATGGCAGCCCCTACGCCCCTCCCCCTTCCATCCGTGTCCACCCCCAACGTCAGCCTTGCTCCACCAGGGCAGCACAGTTGAGTCCCCAAGACCTAGCGACGTTCCAGCTCTCCCGATAGCCCTCAGGCGGCTCCCAACAGGCTCCAATTTAAGCTAAACCCCTTAGATTGGCCTCCGAGTCCCCACCTGATCTGGCCCCGCCCACCCTGCAACCTCATCCCCCAGGTCACCCTCCACCAGCTGGTGGTCTGACCTGGAGAATGGCTGCTGTTCCAGCTTCTGCACCTGCTGCTTCCAGCCCGGCCCCTCTCCCCAGACCTTCACTGCGCTGCCTCTCTAGCTTCTGGCTTAAAGGCTACCTCCTCAAAGAGGCCTCCCTGACCTCCACCTGCTAGAGTAGGCCTGGTGCCCAAGCCCCACTCGCTCTCCTGTTCCCAGTATTCTTTCAGAGCACTTCCTACTCGTGCTGTAGTATAGTATCACGTTCCATTATGGTATGCTATGTTATATTGTGTTGTACTATGTGATGCATATATTATGTTATGTTCTTTATATGTTTATTGACCATCTCTAGAATGTGAGTTTTATGAGAGCAGGGATTTGTCTTGTTTCCCACGGAATCCCCAGCGCCTAGCACACATTCAGAAAACGTTCACTGAATCATAAAGGGCCAGCCTTGGACTGCATGTGAATTGCTGGATCCCAGGTCACTGGTTAGGTCTGTAGGGACAACCACCACCCTTTCAATGGAATGCCTCTCCCTGGCTTCAGTTCTTCTGTCTAGGCTGCCCCTTTTTGATCTCATCCCAAACTCAACATGTTCAAGGCCAAATGCCCCCCTTCCCCTGCCAGACCTGCCCCTCCTGCCCTAAATGGCTTTTCTAGCTCTGGGACCGCATCACCCTTCACCAGGAGACCCAAGCCGGAAGCCCGAGGGTCCGCCTCACACCTCAGCCAGTTTCTGGGCCTGTGGATGCCACCTCCCGGGTACCCCTCCTCCCACCCGCCTGCCCTGCCCTGCCCTCCCCTCCCACCCGACTCCAAGCCTCCATCTCCCACCTGGGCCACCTCCACAGCCCCCTGGCCTCCCTGCAGAGCTCCCTAGTACCCCATTCTCCACACTCCAGCCTAGAGGGATTCCCCAAAGGGCAAAACTGGTCTCCTGCTTGAAATTCTGCCTTGGCTCTCCCTGCCCTCAGGACAAAGCCCCAACTCCTCAGCCTCGGGTCGAAGGCCTGAGCCCTCTCCCCCCACCCACCCCCGTTTATCTCTTGCTACTCACTGCAGCAGCCGGCCCTCCATCCTTCCTGAACTACTTGCAGATCCTACACAGTCCACACAGCACTGCACCTCTAAGCCTTTCCATATTCTGTGCCCTCCACTTGAAACGCCTCCCTCCACCTTTGCTGTCTGCAAACCCAGCCTTCAAGATTAAGGTCAACCATCCCCTCCTGAGCACCCACGTGGGGTGAGTCCCGTAGCACCGTGCGGTAGAGCCCTCTGCCATCACGTCTGCCTCCCCCCACCTGGCTCTGAACTCCCTGAGGGGAGAGGCCAGGCACAGAGGGGTGCAGGAAGCCTGTCCTTCCAGGCCTGTTCTATATGTCCCACGTCACATTCTTGCCTCCCAGGCACAGCCACAGAAGGGCAGGCTCTTCCAAGAGCCCATGCCAGGGGCTCACCTCGATCGCTGTAGTCATCTACAAGGATAACTTCTTCTAGCAGGGTGTCTGGGGATGTCTCGAGGACACTGTAAACTGTCCGAAGGAGAGTTGACCAGGCTTCATTATAAAATGTTATGATGACAGATGTCGTGGGCAATTGATCATAATTGTATTTCTTCTCTTTGCACCTGCGAACACAACACAACTTCAGGAATCAAGACCCCACTGTTGACTGTATGTACCAGGCCCAGGCTGGTGCTGGGGATGGAGTGATGAAAGGGACGTAGGTCACGGTCCTGGGGCCTCCCCCTGGGGAATGGCAAATAGCTGCTGGGATGTTCCCGAGTCCCCCGTGTTCCATTAGGAGACCCAGCAGATTCTTTAAAAAGGTTTTAAATACTTAACGAGCTTGAACTGCAGGCGCTGTTTTTAAGCTTTAAAGCAACTTTCAGATTTGTGCAACATGCAAACTCAGCAGAATCAGAAGGGAGGGGGACTGTCACTTTTCCCCGCCCAACAGCTCTCCCATCTGTCCACACCTTTCCAATCCCACTGAGGCCTTTGCTAAGACTGCGCCCTTTCCTCCCTTTCCTGCTTGGCACACTCTCTGTCCTCTTTCAAGAACAACTCACCCCGCCTTCTCTGGAAAAGTCTGGGGACACCTGTGTGGGGCAGGTGCTCGCCCCTCCTTGCTCCTACAGCACCTTGCCCACGTCTCCGTTTCAGCAGGCGTCACTCTCCGTGCTCCAGAACTCACCACCACTTGAGTCTCCCCCTACCTCCTCCCAGCATCTTTCCTACTCTGCATCCCAGCAGGGGCTATGCTTTCAAAGGTGATGCACTGAATGCATAAACTGGAACCATGGCTAGGATGTGTGAACATTCCAGGAAGGGCTCTGTAGAGAACACTGACTACCCCCCAGCCCCCATACCACTGCCACCACCCACCCTCCCGTTCCATTCTGAGGCAGTCTCGTGGTGAGGAGGGCGCTGAGCCCCACCCATCTCTCTGGGGTTAGGGCTTGGCTGGCAGTGATAAGAACCATTTAGCTCCCTCTTTCTTTGGTAGGGTTTTCTGTTACTTTGCACAGAAGGTTCCAGGTTGACACAGAATTCTCTCCTCAGAGTAATGGATGACAAACTCCCAGTGTCATCCCAGGGAGTAGGCAGTGTCTGGAAATCAGGACATGGCTGAAAGCAAGATAGGGGAGGAACAGAAACCCGCAAGGGACACCAGAAGGAGCAGGGTTTGAAGGCTGGCCTGGCTAAAGGCCAGACCAAGGGATGGGGTGGAAATTCGAGAAGAAGATAAATGTTGAGGACTGGCCAGCCTCTGGGGGCAGAAAGGGAAGGTCTTACAGATAAGCTAAGTGCAAGATCAAAGAGATGGAGAACCAAGCAGGGTGAGGGGTGAAACCAACATCTATTGACTATCTACCACTTGCCAGGCACTGTAGCAGTTGGACCTGTATCAGTCAGTCACCGATCATTTCCTCATCACCTACTATGTGCCCGGCACATAGGCAAAGCCCCTGCTTCCCAGAGCTTACAATCAGGGGGACAATAATCAAATAAGTAAACATATCAATAATTTCAGAAAGTTAGGGTGCTATGAAGAAAAGGAGAGGGATGAAAGAGAGAGCAACTACAGAGGGGAGTAGGAAGGGGGAACGGAGGCAACCACAGAACAGGTAATCAGGGAGGGCCCCTCCAGGAGGTGACATTTAGGATGAGGCCTGAATAATGAGGGACCCAGTCCAACAAAAAGCAGAGGAAAACCCTTTTGTGTACACAACTTATTTCTTTTTTTTCTTTTATTATGAAAATTTTCAAACATGCAAAAAGTAGAGAGAACAGTATAAGAAAGTCCTGTGAACCTTTCACCTAACTTCAGTAGTCCTTAACACATGGTCTTGATTCATCTTTGTCTTCACCCACTCCCCCCATCCCAGACTAATTTTAAGCAAAACCCAGCATACCACAGCATCCATAAATATTTCAATATATATATCTAAGAGATAAAGATTCTTTTCATAATGAACACAATATCATTGTAACACTTTAAAAGTTAGCAATTCCTTAGTGCTATCACATCTCCAGTCTATAAGCTTTCATCAAAATTAATGGGTGTGTCTTCCAATGGTTGGAAGACACACCATTCTTTTATGAACCACTAAGAAAGACAAATGCTACCAATCATAACTGCAGGATGCTCTGATTTTAAGAGACATCCTAATTTCAGAAATGTTTAAATATTTTTTTTAAAGTGCCTTAGAGCAGTGGTACCCAACCTTTTTGGCACCAGGGACCGGCTTCGTGGAAGACAATTCTTCCACGGATGGGGGGTGGGGGGTGGAGATGGTTCAGGCGGTAATGCAAGCAATGGGGAGCAGCAGATGAAGCACCGCTCGCTCCCCTGCCGCTCACCTCCTGCTGTGCGGCCCGGTTCCTAACAGGCCCGGGGTTTGGGGACCCCTGCCTTAGAGGGAATTCCCTGGTGGTCCAGTGGTTAGGACTCTGCACTTTCACTGCCAAGGGCCCAGGTTCAATCCCTGGTCAGGGAACTAAGATCCCACAAGCTGCACCACGTGGCCAAAAAAAAAGAAAGAAAAAATGCCTTAGAATCGATGAAATGTAGCACTTTATTTCACTCTCAAAACCTCTTCCTATGTTAGCATTCACTGTTCCTATTTTAAAGACAAGGCTGAGAGGCGGGGTAGCCTGGACAGTTCTCAGAGTGCCTGCAAGTGTCTATGTACTTGGCTGAACTCCTTGTGTCCCTGTGCGATCTTGTCACAGGGTTCTGGCTCGTGCCTTTGACCCTGCGGGAGGCTCAGGTGGGCCATCAGAATCTAAACAAAGATCCCTACATCCCCTCTCCTCAACCAGCCCTCCCTCCTACCAAGAAACAGGAAATTTCTCCTCTCATCCCTCTCAGGGTCTTCTAAGTAGCTCCAGGTCCCTTTTCCTAAGCGCCAGGACAGTTTCTGTAGAGGGCTCTGAGGCTACCCAGGCAGCAGCCCAGGCTCTGCCATCAGTGGGGTGGCCTTGCCACATGAATAGGCTTATCTGAGAGTCTCTGAGAGGGGCTGGCTCTTCTCAGCCCCCTTTACATTCTCATGCCTGCTTCATCTGTAGGCTGGAGGCATGACCACGCTGGTGCCCTGAAGCGATAAGGCATTCCCACCAGCCTTAGCCAGCGGGACCTGAATTCTTGGACACGCTGGTTTTCTGAATCACGGAAGTGGTTACTTAGCGCTGTGCTCCACAGAGGGGAGTCCAGCCCATACTCAAGGGGAGGAGAATTAGGCTCCTTCTTTTAAAGGGAAGACTATCAAAGAATTTGTAGGTATATTTTAAAACCACCACACATGAACAGAATGCAGCGGGAGTAACAGTATGTGGCTTCTAAGACCAGGTCATAAGACACCAAATGTTCCTCTTTGTTCCCTCCCATGGACCATCCAATCTGGGGAAAGCCAGCCACTATGTAGTGAGGACACTCAAGTGTCCCATGAAGAGATCTATGTGGAGAGGAACTGAGGCTTCTGACAGCCAGGACAGCCCAGACAGACTTTCCAGCATATGATGGGCCATCCTAAAAGCAGATCCTCCAGCCTCAACAGCCCCAATCAGACCTTGAGATGACAAAAAACCCAGGTAGCATTTTGACTACAATCTCATGAGAGACTCCCAAGCCAGACCACTCAGATAACGCACTCACAAATCCCTGACCCACAGAAATTATGCGAAATAATAAACGTTTATTGCTGTTTTAAGTCATTAAGTTTTATGGTCACACATGCGCTGAAATAAATCATAAGGAAACTATCAGACAGGCCTGAATTGACATTTTATAAACCAACAGGCCTGTACTCTTTTAAAAAACGTGACTGTCCTAAAAGACAATGAGAGTCTGAGGAACCATTTCAGACTAAAGGAGACTAAAGAGGCAGGACAACTACATGTCCTACTTGATTCTCAATTAGATACCGGGTAAGGAAGAAAAAAGTTGCTCTAAAAGTTGGGACAGTTGGAAACATCTGATATTGTATAAATTTCCTGAATTTGATAACTACCTTCATGGTATCATGAGAGAATGTCCTTGTTTTTAGAAAATACACACAGAAGTAACAAAGGATAAAAGATTATCATCTCTGTAACTTATTCTCAAATGTGTATAATATTATAGGATACATATAGAAAGAGAAAAATTAAGTAAATGTGGCAAAATAATGAGTGGGTCTAGGTGAAGGATATAGAGGATTTTGGCTATTCTAGCAAATTTTCTCTAGGTTTGAATTTTTCAAAATTAAAAGTTTAATACAAAAAGAAGAAAAGAAAATTTTTAATGTTGCAAAGGGTGTACCCAAACACCAAGCCAATTCTGACCTACGCGTATCTCAATCTTAGTGGCCCTGTCCAAGGCCCTCTCCTTTCTCACTCATTCCCACTTCTACCAAAACAGCTGCCCTCTGAGGATGTGGAGAAAAAAGAACACTTGTACACTGTTGGTGGGAATGTAAGTTGGTGCAGACTGTGGAAAACAGTATGGACATTCCTTGAAAAACTAAAAATAGAACTACCGTATGACCCAGGAATTCCACTCCTGGGTATATGTCTGAAAAAAACCCAAAACACTAATTTGAAGATACACGCACCCCAAATATTCACAACACCATTATTTACAATTGCCAAGATATGGAAGCAACCTAAGTGTCCATCAACAGACGAATGGATAAGAAGATGTGGCAGAGGGCTTCCCCGGTGGCGCAGTGGTTGAGAGTCTGCCTGCCGATGCAGGGGACATGGGTTCGTGCCCCGGTCCGGGAAGATCCCACATGCCGCGGAGCGGCTGGGCCCGTGAGCCATGGCCGCTGAGCCTGCGCGTCCAGAGCCTGTGCTCTGCAACGGGAGAGGCCACAACAGGGAGAGGCCTGCGTGCCGCAAAAAACAAAAAAAAAACAACAAAAAAAAGATGTGGCAGATATATACAATGGAATACTACTCAGCCATAAAAAAGAACAAAATTTTGCTATTTGCAGCAATGTGGATGGACTTGGAGGGCATTATGCTAAGTGAAATAAAATAAGTCAGACAGAGAAAGACAAATACTATATGACATCACTTATATGTGGAGTCTAAAAAAATACAACAAACTAGTGAATATAACAAAAAAGAAGCAGAC